GGGCTTAAGCTAGTACGATGGTGTTTCACAAATTGACATGACTCACATTGTAAAGAGGTCATCTTATTAAATTGGGGATTTATTTGCTTCATTAATGGGAGAGATGGATGTCCTAATCGGTAATGAGCATCTAACAAAGTCCCAACCCCAAGACAAGAGATACCTTTTGTGATGGATGTATCCAAAATATATAGACCAGCTGACTCATGTCCTTTACCAATAATCTGCTTCGTTAACAGATCCTGAAACACACAATATCCAGGAAAAAATGTTACAGAACAATTAAGAGTACGAGTGATTTTACTGATGGAAAGCAGATTAAATGCAAAATTAGGAAGACTCAAAACAGGCGATAATGGTAATGTAGAAGTTGGAACAACAGTACCAGATCCAAGAACGGGTGAGGTAGATCCATCAGCTAAAGTGACACTAGAAGTAGGTAAATATGAATGAAATGACGAGAATAGACTAGGATTACCAGTCATATGATCTGTGGCACCTGAGTCAATGACTCATTTTGACGATAAGGAAACAAGACACGTGTTTGAAATACCTGAATTAGCGGTTACCGAGATAGGGACAGAGGAATGCTTTAGCGATTCTTGGTAGCAAATAAATTTGGCATATTCGTCTGAAGAAATAACAATTGATCCATCGGATGAACTGGTAGTGGAAGCAACATGAGCTTCCTGATTTCTTTGATTTTTGAACATCAATTTTCTACATTCTTTAATCAAGTGCCCGGGCTTTTTGCAGTAATTGCATATTATGCCTCTGTCAAATTGACCCGTACAAGACATTTTTTTGTTTTTTCACTTTCCTCATTTTTTTTGGTTTTTTATGAGAATGTAATTAAGCTCAAAATTGAGATATCCAATGAAAACTTACAGCAGCCCGTTTATGGACTCGACCTTGAAGAATAAAAGATCCTGCGTATGTCACCTATTGCTTGGGCAATTTGCTTGGGCTTTGAGTGCTACTCCATACAGAAGCCCGATTCCAGACCCAAGGAATAAACAAAAGAGCCTGCGTATGTCCAGATCGTAGACCCAAGCTTCGTAAGACCAGAACGTGCGTATGTTTGGATACTTCGATGCCAGACCCCAGCTAGCGACCAGAACGTTCTGTAGAGAAAGAACGAGAGAGAAGTAGCGTAACCTGGTGAGGTGTAGCGTAACCAGTAGAGGACTTCAGGCGAGCCTGTTGAGGAGTTCCGACCAAATCGCTGGCCAGAAAAGCTGTGTCACGCGCCGGACTTGTGGTGGCGCGTGTAGCACGTTCGCCTTGCAGTTGGGTGTCAGATTTAGGCCGCTGGGTCGTCTGAGGTAGGCGCATCTCCTGAGTATGACTGACTTAAATTCTGCTTGAAGAATGCTAACTGAACTGAGTTTCTGGGGAAAAAAAATTAGCAACTAATTGATTTTCTGGATTAAGAATCTGGTTCTAGGGTCTTTTGATGTTCTGGAATAAGAGTCTGGATAGAGGTTGTGTGGAAGTGAGTTTCTTGGAGACAGAAGGGTGTGTAAGGTTCTGGAGTTAACTGAGGTTCTGGGAGATTCTGGGAAGGGTAAGAGGTTCTGAAGGTTCTGGACTGAAATTAGTTCCTGGAGAAAGAACCTGGAATCTAAACTGGGATATGAATGAATAAACTGAAATCTGAAACTAAACTGAAATGAATGGCTCTGATACCATGTTGAAATATAAACTAGAATAATATTGAAGAGTGGAGGAAAGATTTTCTGTGTGTTTCATTGAAGGGTAAGGCCCTATAAATATAGATTACAAAGATAGAATATTCCTATAAAAGATGCTATACAATAATACTATATATGGTATGTTCCTAATATATTCTAAAGCATATTCTATAGTATATTCTAATATACTTTCACACTACAGAAGAATATCAAACCGTAATAACTTCGTAAACCCTAAGATGACATACAGACTAGAAAGGAAAAGAATAGCACATCTCACGTAGGAGACTAGAAATCTAGAGTTGAACAAGTCAACACCACCCTTCTTATTATGGCTTCTGGTGGCAAAGAAACATATTATCTGATAGCAGTGCAGCGCATGTCTGGAGTGGTTTCACTTTGGAAGAAGGTTATGTGCATTGAGTTGTTGATTTTTTGATGTAGCTCTTTTTTCTTTTTACGGGGGGATACTGGACAGGAAAAACAGTGTATCGAAGCAGATGAAACACTAGGAATGTAATGGCTTTGATATCAAATTGTTACGGACGTGGTTGGGATCTCATTTCAGATCTAGAAAATGGAGAATATGAGCGAAAAAAATAAAATAAGCCTAAGCTAGAATTAATCGGTCTCCGATCTTGTGAAGACACATGATAGAGAGCAAGAAGAATCTGGGGCGGGAACGGGATTGGGCTCACTTCCGTGGGCCGGTTCTGGGCTAGGGATTATAGTTTTATTTATTTATAAAATTTATCATTATGTTTTAGTTGGGCCTATTATTAGTAGAGTGGTTAGTTAAGTTAAATTGGGCTTAATTAGGGTTTAAGTAATTTGGGCTTGATTAGGGTTTCTTGTAGAAGCTATTTATACCCCTTGCTAGGGTTCATTCTGATTATCGGGGAATAAAAGTTGGTTTAGCCTTTTGGCTTTGGGCAACGGTATTTTTATCGTTGATTATCTGGGCAACGGTTCATCCCGTTGATTTTATTTTTCTGCTACACATTAATTGGTCCGACCTGCCGGGTCCCGTCCCGCCAAGATGACCAGAACTCAGAATGAACGCTTGACAGAGATGGAAAACGAGCAGAACCGAATGGGAGAGGAAGTGGCCCGACTGGGGGCTGAGCAAACCCGGATGGCACTCGAGCAGAAGCGCATGAACCAGACGCTCGAAGACCACGGTGCAAAGCTGGTGGAGATCGTCGCCTCCCTGGCAGCGCTGACGCATGCCCTTGTGCCGCCGGTGTCGCCGGAAACATCCACGGCGGCCGTCGCAAGCACAGCAGCGACCGCGCCCAGCGGCGAAGGTTTGCCGCGCACCACAACTCCAACCAGCGGCGAAGGTTTGCCGCACGCCACAACTCCAACCAGCGGCGAAGGTTTGCCGCGCATCACAACTCCGACCTTGTTGCCTGCGTTTGATGGCGCAGATCCCATCGGATGGGTGGCCAGAGCTGAGCAGCAGTTTGAACTTCATCAAACCCTACCTGGAAGCAAAGTGGCAGCAGCTACGGTAGCCATGGAAGGGGCTGCCCTGTACTGGTTGACCTGGTTGAGGGCACGGAAACCGGGCCTGACTTGGGAGGAATTCACAGATGCACTGGTGGCCCGTTTTGATTCACGGTTCAAGGGCAACCGATTTGAACGACTGTCCGGGGCCAAGCAGTTGGGAACCATAGAAGAATACAATAACCTTTTTGTGCAGTTGGCCAGTCAAGTTCCTGGACTGTCCGATGATCACTATTTGGGGTATTTCATGAACGGGCTGAAGGGACTGATTCGGGGATCCTTACAATTGCTGCGGCCAAACAGCCTGGAGATTGCAATGGAGTTGGCCAGAGATATTGAGCACAACTTGTCCTTTCAAGATGGAGACTTGGAGAGTCAACCCTTCGACACAAACTTGCATTCGAGCAGTTTTTTGCGCCCAACTGGCAGTAAAAGCACCACCATAGGTGGTGGCAGCTTAAGAGGATCGAATGACAGCTTTCCTAAAGACATTGGGCAGCCTCCGGGGACAAAGTCAGGGCTGTCCGGGCAGCCCACGACACGCTCACAGTTCACTCGACTTCCGCCGAAAGAGTTTGCAGAATTGTGGGCGAAAGGATTATGCTTTAGGTGTAAGAAACCATTTACACCAGGGCATGACTGCCCCTTTAAGCAGTTGCGGGTAATGATAGCTGAGGAGGATGAGGAGTTGGACCTCCAGCAACATGAGTACTGTGAAATAACTGGTTGGGAAAAGGTTCTGGAAGGCGATGAAGGGTATTTTCCAGTCTATTCCATGGTTGGAAATTTCAGTCCTCGATCTGCGAAATTACAACCTTGAGGACAAGGTTATTTGAAGGGGGATGGATTGATAGAGAGCAAGAAGAATCTGGGGCGGGAACGGGATTGGGCTCACTTCCGTGGGCCGGTTCTGGGCTAGGGATTATAGTTTTATTTATTTATAAAATTTATCATTATGTTTTAGTTGGGCCTATTATTAGTAGAGTGGTTAGTTAAGTTAAATTGGGCTTAATTAAGGTTTAAGTAATTTGGGCTTGATTAGGGTTTCTTGTAGAAGCTATTTATACCCCTTGCTAGGGTTCATTCTGATTATCGGGGAATAAAAGTTGGTTTAGCCTTTTGGCTTTGGGCAACGGTATTTTTATCGTTGATTATCTGGGCAACGGTTCATCCCGTTGATTTTATTTTTCTGCTACACATTACACAAGAATTAATTCTTCCCAAGCTGTTTATTGAATAATACTGATTACCCTTTTATAGCTATTACAAGAGTTTTAATAATAATAATAATGATAATAATAATAATATTAATAATAACAACAATAATAATAACAATTGTAATAACAATAATAATAAGAGTAATAATAACAATAATAATAAAAACAATATTATTAATAATAGTAATAATAATAACAATAATAATAACAATAACAACAACAATAATACGAATTCTAATACTAATAATAATAATAGTAATAATAATAATAATATAATGTTTCTTCTCCCATATCAGATCCATATCTCTCATTATATATTAAATTTGTGGGCTACTTATTTGAAGTGTGCGCTTTATATTCCAAATGGAAGATAAAGAGATTTAAATGGGGTAAACTTCCCCAATATAAATCCTTTTTGCTTTTCATTTTAAGTTGTTTTTTCCATTATGTAGCTTCTTTGGCACTATCGGCATATGAGATGGAATTTTATCCCTTAGGATATATGTAAACTGATGAAAGCCTTATTAAGCATTCCTCATCCCAACCGTTTCAAGGATTTTGTTTGATGTCTTACGATCAGGTGGAAATTCTCACCCGCAAAGCTCATGCTCAGGAGATAGAACTGGGAAGAACTACCAAACAGCTGAAGGAAGCGATAGCAATAGCAGGAGAGGAGACTGCCAAATGCAAAGCAGCAAAAGAAGTGATCAAGTCACTCACTGCTCAGGTAAGAGGGGTATATGCGCCATGCGGTAATGGTTTGCTCCTTAGAACTTTTAACTTTTTAACACTTATGTGAGAAACATTTTTAACACTAATGGTTTGCCAAAAGATAGTAAGGGTTATTTTCCCTCTTATTTATTGTGTGTACCGTATTCTCTCCATAAATTTAGATAAACAAGCTAATATAGAGGGGCTGGGGAGGATTTCCTCATGGTTGGCCAGCTTACATGATGTTTAGAATGTTTTGCTAATCTATTTAGTGGATCTGTGATCTTTACCAGCTTAACAGAGAATAACACACACTTTTGGGGAAAAGAGGATTGGAGGGGAGGGAAACTGATGATATATTGTCCAGTTTAACAACAACAACATTACCCCAGTGGCGCAAATGGTTCCATCTACGGTGGGGTAAGAAGGGGGTCGGATGTATGCAGCCTTACCCCCTGTACTAAAGCACAAATAGACCATTTCCGGATGACCCAAGATGAAAATTGTAGAAAAAATTGCGCTTCATAACAAAGAAACGCATACAGTTTAGTTAGCCATTTTGCTTTACTCCATCATATTTCCAAGCCAAAATATTGTGAGTCTTTGGCTCCATTGGAGATGATGGAAACACGGGGTCTATGAACACAGTTTGGTTAATAAAGCTGGAGGGTGGGGATAAAGAGCGTTATAGATATATGAACAACCATATTTTATTTCCTTTTCCTTACAACTGGTTTTGAGTGACATTGACATTTGAAATATGTAGCTAAAGGAAATGGCTGAAAGACTGCCCGTGGGTGCTTCAAGGAACATCAAACCTCCACTGATGCTTGCTTCCACTACCCCACCAAATGCTTCAACGGAGCATGTGAATGGTGCAGTGACATGCCCTAAGCAATTGGAGTCGAAGAGAGCCAACAACCAACCACTTTCCAATGGGGCAATCACGTCATGTAACCGTAATAGTGGGCATATGAGGCAGGCAAGTTCAGAAGCAGCAAGAAATGGAAACCGGGGAGGGAAAGAAGATGAATCCCAAAATGAGAATGAATGGGTTGAGCAAGATGAACCCGGTGTATATATCACACTCACTTCTTTGCCAGGAGGCTTGAAGGATCTCAAGCGTGTTCGCTTCAGGTATCATAATTATTAATCTTGTGTGAGTTTCTTTATATTGCATATAAGATTATAGCACCTTCCTTGTCAAGTAAACAAATGGAACACTTTTTCCTTTTGGTTTGTTCTTGTCATTTGTCAAATCTAAATCTGTTACTATGCCCATCACACCCAGAAACCACGATGCGAGATTCGGCAGCACCACTAGGGGCTAGGAGGCGGCAGCGGTGGCTGACCCCCCCCACTCCATATTTTATTTTTTACTCCCTCTGTCCTATAATCTTCTTCTCACTTTTCTTTTTCGAATGTCCCAAAAATTTCTTGTTGTTGTTGTTGTTGTCGTCGTCGTCGTCGTCAGCACCACTGTTGTTGTTGTTGTTGTTGTTTTTGTTGTCGTCGTCATCGTCGCCGCCACCGCCACCGCCGCCGCCGCTGCCGCCGCCGCCACCGCCACCACCACCACCACCGCCACCACCACCACCGCCACCACCCGATTTAGTCACCCTCACCGCCTCGATAGTCACCCGCCGTTGATAGTGACTCTGGTGACCACCACTGCCCGACATTGACCACCAGTGACTACCACCACCCCAACATTGATCACCACCGCTCGCTCTTCCAGCACAAGCACAACCCTGCCCCACCCTGCCCCAGCATCGGCTTTCAGCCCCCAGCCCCAACCCCAACCATAGCCCCCCACCTCCAGCCCATTTCTGTCGCCCTGGGACAGAAATTGCACTGCCGTCGGAACCCTAGCCCACCGGATAGGTGAAGGTCATCGTCGCAACAGCCTATGAGATGTCAATGTAGAGCTGCCGCCCACATACGGATCTGGATCCCAAATCAGAAGTAAGGATTTGGATCCCAAATTCAAAAGAACAGATCGAACCTCTACCATTTATGAAGTAATGATCTGAATCCCAAATCAGAAAAGAACAGATCAAACCTCGTCGTGGTTGCTCATCATTGTCGCCCGTCTCTGTCGACCGATGTCGTACTTTACTTACACACATCTTAGTTGCTCATGGAATGTGGTGGAGTGTCGTCGTCATGGAACAGAGGAGAAAACTCTTTGTGATGAAGGAAAAGATGGAGGAGATGATTGTGATGGTTGGAGGCAAACGAATCACAGGGGAAAGGAGGGTTACGATAAAACGGAATAGAGATGAGGAAATGGGAGGGAGAAACAAACGAGCATTTCAGTCCTTTCAAATTAAATTAGTCTGTTTTTTGTCCAATTTAAAATTAAGTCTTATTTTTGTCAACTTAAAAGCTGATAGTCATTATTATGTCATCATTTCAAAAAAAATGTCATTATTCCTATGTTTTTAGTAAAAAATATTATTGGTTTTAATCAAAATTCTAATTTTGTGTAGGTAATGTTAGTTTATAGTATTTAAAAGATTGTGATATGGATATACTCCCTTCATTCTTTTTTAGTTGCAGCGGTCAACATTTCACATTTATCAACGCACGTCTTTGACCGTAATTATATCTTAATTCTATTAGTAAAAAAATATTAAAAATCAGATTTAGAAAATTTGTAATGAGATGAATTGAACAATATTTTTTTTAAAAAATAATTTTCATAAAATAATAACGTAAAATGTAGTCAAAGTAGAGCATGTGAATAGTGTAAAATTCAACATGTTGCGATTAAAACGGAACGGAGGATAGTATTTTTTTGTTAAAAGAATGAAAATAAAAAGAAATAAGTTTGGTAGAAGAAAACTAGTCCAATCATTTTATCTGACGGAATTTTAATGTGATATCATTTCATATGATTGAATATCAATGAATAAATGATGAATATGCTTTTAGTAGAGCTCAATAGATTTAAACGAGAGAAGGAAGATAAACTATGAGAACTTGAATTTTAAAAATATTGGAGTTGGAAAATTTACATATGCTCCACCATTTTCATTCATCATCATCATCACTCCAGTGGTGCAAAGGTTCCCATCTACGGTGGGGTAAGGGGGTCAGATGTACGCAGTCTTACCCCCTGTACTAAAGCACATATAGACTGTTTCCGGATGACCCAAGCTCCACCATTTTCATTATCGTATGAGGTTTTATATAATATATATTATTAGGACGTTTAAAACTTTAAGTTCCTTTTTTATTACATTAATTAGACATTTATTAATAGTTTTGCTTTTTCCATTGTGTTTTTGATGACTAATTAGTGGTTAATTGAAATTTTGGTTAATCGATATCCGGTTAACCAATATTATGGTACGGGCAGTGGTATTGAAATTTTAGTAATTGACCTCAGTTAACCGAAAATTGGTTAACCAAAATACGATTGACCGACAGCTCCCACACCTAACTACGAATAGCCAATTCCATTTTATTAATAAACATGTCAATTCAAAGTGGGAAAAAACCTGGGACAGATGTAGTATTATATAGCTATTAAGTTTTGTAGGTTTATATTGTGTATTTATATTTGGGAAAATTCCAGAAATAGGAGTAAAAATGTTTTGGAATTCGAACTTTGGAGTAATTACTGCCAACCCCTATTTAAGGCAATTTCTGTTTATATTTTCAAGTGATATTCTGATGTCAAAATGTCTGAGATACATGTTTCTCAAATGGAACATTCTATAAAGTTGTGCAAGTTTCATCTCATTCTTGAATAGGCATAAGTTCTATTGAAATATTTAGGCAACACCGGCCAACTGGCCAAATATTAAAAAAAACCGATATTAAATTTTTTGGACAACTTTATATCTTGTGAACCTTTTTTAGGATAGTACTTAGGACTTTAACAAGTTCTTTTGTTGAACCTAAATTCCTCTAATGAGCTGATAGGTAGTTGATACCCGACCCCAATATCTTTTGGGATTAAGGCTTGGGTGTTGTTGTAGCTGATAGGTTGTTGATGATTAAGTGACTTTGCTTTAATTACATGTTAAATATAAATTGATGTCCCAAGACCTTCGGATTTTGGACACTTGCCAGGTATTAAAAGAAATATAAATTAGTGTAACTAGTGCTAACTTGTTACTTGCATAGTTACATGAATTACCCATGTTATATGTTATAAGTACAAAAGTGGTGCACAAACGCTTACAAAAGGCCACTGGGCAAGATCATGTTTGTAATACATTGCCTTTATATAAATGGTGAAATTGCACATGTAACATATTCATTTTGTAAGTATTTTTGTAACACATTTTGTATTTAGAGCAGAGCATTATTCTAAGGTTTTAACTACGTGAAAAAGTTGGTGATTCGATGACCATGTTCACTATAATGTGAATTTAATGAATGAATTTTAATAAATGAACACGAGATGTGACTATGTGAGTAACTTATTATAATGTTGATTAGTATTGAAAATACCGAGAGAAAAGCGTAGCCGGCCAGTGCTTAGTGGAGTAGCGGGAGATTTTTAGAAGAGGTAATAAAATTAGGAAATTGTTGTGAATGCAGCCGGAAGAGGTTCAGTGAAAAACAGGCAGAGCAATGGTGGGCAGACAACCGAGGAAGAGTGTATGAAAAATACAATGTACGTACAGCGGATAAGTCGAGTATTGGCGCTGGAAGCGATGAGTAAACATCGCAAGCCTGTTCTTTTGCATCCATATTCTACTGCCACTGCAGTCAAAGGTTTGCCACATGCCAGCAGCTAAGAATTAGGGAGTAGAGGTTTGGTTGCGGCCTTTCCTTCTTCCAGTGCATGTTTTCCTTATAATCTGTATGTATGTATGTGTGTATGTTCGATTCTTTTCTCTGATTCCAATCCTCCCCTAATTATGCCTTTTTTCCTTTCTTGGTACCGAGGGTGAGAAATGTAAATTCTGCTTTGTAGCATGGTGTGCTCACCCACTTGTAAATTCCACCAGTAAATCTCATTCCAGATTCTACCAATTTTGCCCTATTGCTCGCCCTTGTCTGTATTTTCCACTTTGCCCAATTTAACCACATGGATGTAATATCCAAAATACAAACTTGCGAAGATAAAAATCTGATTGGCAGGCAAAAAAAGCATTTTTATTGGAATGTCATCATAAGAAAAATAAATGAAAAATATTATTATCTCTGCCCCATTAACATTGGGACTAGGGATGGACTGGGCCGGACCGAACCGGCCCGGAACCGGACCGGCCCGCTACTGTGCGTGCCCGGACCGGCCCGCTACTGTGCGTGCCCGGACCGGCCCGGGTCCGGTTAGCCGGTTCTAGGCTTTTAGCCCGTTTCGGCGGGTCGGCCGGGCCGAGCTCGGGCCCCATTTTTGTTGAACCGGCTCGGGCGGTTCCGGCCGGGCCCGAGCCTTTGTTTTGTTTTTTCAATTTTTTTTTCTTTTCCTAGGGTAGGGCTGGGTGTTTTGGGGAGGTTTGGGGGGTGGGGGTGACGGGGGGGGGGGGGGGGGTCAGGGGATAACAAGAAAGCCAAAAAAAATTAAACGTTGAACCGGGCTCGGCCCGGCCCGGTTAGGCCCGGATCGGTATCAACTCGGACTGGTTCCGGGCCCAAGTACCTGGGAAAAAAGCCCGCTCGGGCCCGGCTCGGAATCAGAACCGGACCGGACCGCGTCCATCCCTAATTGGGACAAGATGAAGTGCAAACTATTAATAAAAGTATGTTTATGTTAGGGATGGACTAGGATGGGCCCGCTCGATCTAGCTTGGTATTGTGTAGGCTCGGCCCGCTCGGGTGGTATCGGGATTGGGACTAGGGGCCTGAACCGGGTAAAAGGGCGGTGGGCTACGGGACGTGAAAAAGGTTGACCGGCCTAGCCGGTCTGAGCTCCACTACCTCCCATCCCCACTGCACGCTAGTGGTGGACTCGGCGCGCTCGGGCCTCCGGTTTGTAATTGATGGGCCTGGGACCGGCTCGAGCCCCGAGGTAAGGATGGTTGCGGTTCGGGCCACCTGCTCGGGTCACGGATTGGGCCACCCGCCAGGCTGGTCGGGCTAGTAAATCCATTTTTTTTACTTATTTATACTTTATAGTTTTATACAAGTATTAAAAACAAACTTCAAGGGCATTTATTTGAAATGAAATGGGAACTACATTTGACAGTTGAGAAAAAAATACAATATGAAATACATTTTGTGATCAATCGGAATTTCCCGGTCTTTTGGCTTTGTCACATGACTTAATATGCTTCTTGGGCATTCCATATCCGCGTGAAACCCCCAAGCTACACTTTTTCCCGCTCCATTTGCAAGTTGCGTACCACATCCCGGTCCTCGGGTTCTTCTGCGTATAAAAATTATACGCGATAACGGCATATTGGCTTTCCATCTTAAAATGGTAGATCTAATAATTATAAATACTAGAATAGATGGAGATGAAGATGGAGAATGGAGATTGGAGAAGATGTGTATAAAAAATGTTAGAAAATAGGAGTATTTATAGAATTTTTTGTACCCTACCCCCACCCCCAAACTGCCTGGACCCCCCTGCCAGCCCACCCAACGGCTATATAGCCGTTTGGGTAGTCCCAACCCAAGCCTAACGACTCTTTTGGCCCAAAACATTTTTTTTAAATGTGACCGTTGTGACCCGGACCTGGGCCCGACCCGGCCGGGCCGGGTCACGTTTTGCCGGAACCGAGCCCACCCCCCGCTGCCCCCCCCCCCGGTTCGGGTCTACACCCGGTCCCGCACAGTAGCGGGCCAGATCGGGTCACGAGCCGGGTGGCCCGAACCGAGTCCACCACTACTGCACGCCCCTGCCTCCGCCGTCCATGGCCCTCTGTCCGCCGTCGTCCCTATCCCTCCGTTTGCCGCTGTCCAATAGAATGGCCGTCGGCGACCGGTGCATCTCTCGTCGCAGCTCGGCATCGCAAGTCACCATCGTCGCCCACTGTCCACTGGTAGGAAATGAAGGATTCGTCCAGATTGGCGGAAGATTGAGGCAGGTTCAAGGGTTGCGATTTTGTTGGTGGGGACTTGGTTGGCGACGGCAGCAGATTCGTCCAGAACTCCAGATTGAGGCAGAGATTGGTGGCCGATGGAGTCAAATTCGTGGGAAGCGATGGGTGGGCGACGTAGGAGATTCATTGGCGGCGACTTGGTGGACACCAGAAGTAGATTCAAGAGCATCAATTGTGAGCGATTGAGGCATATTTGTGGGCTACGGCTAGGAATGACAACGGGGCAGATCGGGGACAGGTACACATAAAATCGAAATCGTCCCGTTGGATAAATTTTTGCCCCGAAACTACCCCATTACCCGTTCGGGTAATTTTATTTGAATCGTACCCGCCCCAACGGGAATCGGTTTATCCACGGGTAACCGTTTCCCCAAATGCTATTAAATAAGCAATTTATAATCCTACCGTAAACATCCTTCTTAGTAAATTATATATTCAAAGCCCCAATTTTCTTTTCAAATTGCATCTCATTTCATATACACCGTTTATCCAATTTTGCTAAATCTTAATGATGTAAAAAACTACAAAATTAGGCATCGAGCAAGCTCACCAAACTGTAATATACACACTTCGTATTAACCACAAGAAAACTTACCTTTGACAGGAGTGATTTCGAAAATAGAAGACGGAACTCGGTAGAATCCTTGATAATGAGGGAGATTAGAAGCCACCAGTATTAGAATCGAACTGCAAGCCTAGCATCGTTCCATCTAGAAGAATTGAAGAGAGTTGTTCTCACCGTTAAGAAGCAGAGCCCTGGGCCGTAAATCCGTATTCCGTGTCAGATAGATTATGAGTTAGGGATGTTAGGATTTTTAAAGTGGGCCTGTGGTGTAATTTTTTTCTTTCTTTTTCTCTTTTTTTTTTACTCCAGGGGGTCTGGGGGGGTGTGGAGTAATTAGGGCTGAAACTCACTCTATTTAATTTCAAACCCTTATGTGCCTAGCGGGTTTTGAACTGAGACCTCCCACTAGGCACGGTAACCTCAGAACCAGCTGAGTGTAATATTCTTTATATACTTATATGATATATACGATTTAGTGTACACAATTTAGTATATATACTTCTTACTCTTATATATAAAGAGTTATAATTTATTAATAATGTTATGGCTCGGGTAACGGTGCGAGTACCCGCACCATTAGTGAACGGGGTGGTTTCAGGGCGGATAACAGGACGGATTAGTATAGAACCATAACAGCACCGTTATCCATTTAAAAAAACTGGGTATTCTCCGCCCCGTACCCGTTCTCTAGTTAAACTGGTTTCCCCATTTTGATCAAACCGGTTCGGTATGGATATCCAACGGGTCGGCCGGAATTGTCACCACTTTCTTCTTATTCTTCTTGTGCATTGAACTCTTATAGTGAATGATTAAGTTTTTTTTAAAGCTCTCAGTTAGAAAATATACAGATTAGAAGAGTTTTGATAGATTTCTTTGATACATGGTGCTTCGTTCGTATGTTGCTTCCGCAACTTTTTCCCTAACCATGCGGCCTTTCCTCTAGAGATGGCAATTGTGACTGATCCGGTGGATACCCGCACCGAACCGCCCCGGTCAAACCGGGGAAAACCGCATTGACCGGGTAACGGGTATGGGGCGGGGAATACCCGTTTTGTTTTTACGGGTAACGGGGCGGTTACGATTTTATACATGCCCGCCCCATTACCCGCCCCGTACCCGCCCCGTTTATTTTTAGTTATATTTTTATTACATTCTTATCTATTATTTGTCCCACAACTAAAAGATGAGAATTTTCTATTTTCATTGTCTATATATCAATGACAAATGTACTAACTCTAGTGTACGGATGAAAGTTCATAATAGATCTTAATAGTCTTTTTTGACTATTATCAGATTCTTTCGAGATTAATTATTTTTCATATTAAGTATTTTTAGATTCAAACTCATTTAGGTTGTCTTCTTTCTCGTCTTGTAGATATGCGAAACTTTAAAGTGGCGTTTGAGTCTAGAGTCGTCTAGGTGATGCCATTTTTGCCTATTAAAACATTATTTTTTATTAAAATACCATTGACACATTTAATAAAGTGATTACCCGCGGTTACCCGCGGTTATACCCGTTACCCGTTGGGGATGTTATGGTTTGAGTAAAAATTACCCGTTGGGTAATGGGGCGGTTATGGGGCGGGGAATTACCAAACGGGGCGGGTACGGTTATATGTAAAACCGTCCCCGATCCGCCCCGTTGCCATCCCTACTTTCCTCCTCTACACTGCACTGCAATATTTTTTGGGAAATTTTCTAGATATTGTTGAGTATGGTGAGTGAATTTAGGGATTATGAGCATTGAACATTGACGGTAAACATGACAATAAGTGTTGAATATGGTCTTTCAAAAAAGTGTTGAATATAGCATTGAATATGGCAATATATATGTCGTAGATGACAGTGAATAAATGAATTAAGGAAGTTTGTTGTGCAGTAAATATGATCAGTAGTGCAGTAATGCAGACAAGAAACACAATATACTTAATTAGATGTAAAATAATAAAATTTTTAATTCTAAAAAAAATAAAAAATAAAAACTATCAATGATTTTGTAAATTGAATGAGAAGAGAGTTAATTTTGGCGGAAGTGCAATGATTATTACCAGATGTTCAGTAATTTCTTGCAATATTGTCATGCAGTAATGTTGTGCCGTAACGATAATATAAAATGCAATAATTTTAACTGAACAAAATTAGTGCAAAATTCACATATTTTATATAGGGTATTTTTTTCATTCAACCTTTAAATATAAAGAAGATTTCTTTTTTATTTTGATTTTCGGTCATACAAAAGTCTAAAAATTAGTTAGATCATAAATTGGGAAATTCATTGAGCTTTAGTCACATCCTAGGAAATTTCCCAAAGTAATACTACCTCCGTTCCTAAATAAGTCCAACATGTCGAATTTTACAGTATTTAAATGTTCTACTTTGACTAGTTTTATTTATTAATGTATTAATATTTATTTTTTTAAAATATTGTTGTCTCATTGTAAATTTTCTAATTTTGTTTTTTAAATTTCTTTACTAATAGAGAATTATATATATTAATGGTCAAAGTTTTACATCGGCCAAGCGTTGT